AACAAAATCAATTTTCCTTTGCCCTAACATAGTACATATTACTCAGTGAGAAACAGATTCAGTGCTGATTTTGAAGACTAAAAGCTTAACTTATAAAATTTAAGAAAATAATACATAGAGGTGGCGTGATCTCTGGGGGCACAAATCTTTCTAGTTACTAGGCACTTGTGTCCATTGCATACTGAAAATTAGAAGCTGTTGAAATTTTTACTGTATCTATTCAGTCATGCTGATAAAAATAATAGAAGAGTCAGAACAGCTGATTAAGTTTAAAACTATAAGAGAATAACATTCCATGAAAACAAATGATACTGGAATTTACACTGACACTGTCAATATACTGATGGTAGAAATGAAACAATTTGCAATTAGAATATCACTGATGACCTTCACATGCAGAATATTGCTAAATTGTTCTATTTCATTAGTATACATTTTGTATCCAAATCTTGTCTTCACAATTGTCATTTTTTTTTCAGTTACAGATTGAGATTTGTTAAAGTGAATTTCTGACATACTAAAGAGGCAAATATATGCCATAAGAGTTGGTGCAATAAGACTGGAAAAGAGACAGCTTCAGCTCATTTTTGAAAGGGCATTCATTTGTTAAAGTGGTAAATATTCCCTGTAGTCCCAGGTGGATATGCTGATAATGAAAATTCATTTTGCAGAACAGTGTAAGCGGATATTCAGAGGTCAGATTTAATCTGTGTATAACTATATAGTGGAGTTCCTAGGAACGAGGTTAGCTTACTCTGCCCTCGTGTAGTTATACATCAAAACAAATGGAGTACCCTGAGATTTTTTGACATCTAAAGGTATCAGAAAGTTAGTGTGATTTTGTGATGTTTATGACATGGTACAATGGCGCACTTAAATCAGTCAGCTTCTTAGAGAACGCTCCCTTAGTACAGAACTGGCATCGCAGTTCAGCATAAACAAATTGTTCACTTGTCTATCTATATTTATTATTGCATATATGTATGTGAAGCCTTCTGAAGAGTGCTAATCTGATGCCCAGGAGACTGAATTTTTGTTGTTGAGAGTTCAAGAGGGGAAGAATAAGAAAAACAACTGACCAGGGATCTTTGCTTAAACCCAGTCATGCGAGTCCTGTTAATATTACAGAAGCATAAAAGCCAAGGTTTGTTCAGTGCTGTAGAGGAATGTTGGGGTCCTTGAATCAATGAATAATCTAAGTAATTCATGATCAGACAAATGTATTTATAAATTCATCTTTTTTTTTAATTGAACTGCACTTGGATGGTTTAAAAGATACAATTTCTCGGTGTAGAAATTAAGGTCACCAAAATGGGCTAATCCAAGGGTTTTGCTGGCCAGCGCACAGGTGCTGAGTTGAATTTTACTGGCTTCAAACTATGGGGGCACTGTTCTTGGGCGCAACACTCAGAATCAAACCTTCATATCAGAGATAATATCGTCCAGAATTAAATCCTCTGAGAGGATACAGTAGCTAACAGCTCTGATAGTTATATCTTGCCTCTTCATTCTTATTTCCTTTTCTTTAATTCTCTTTAACAATTCTGACATATAGTTGTTTCTCTCTTTGGCTTTTCCTAGTTTTTGTGTGGGAATATGATATGACAGTCTTAAGCCAGCTAATTGTCCCACTTCATTGCACTCCTACCACTTCTGTCATCTAGCTGAGCAGGTAGAAATTGTTAAATACTTAACTACTTTTAATCATGCACAGAATTAGGTCATACTAAATTTAATCTTTCCTTGAACTGAAATCCTTTGATTTAGCCTCTACTTAACTGCCCGAGTCTGTGTCCCACAGATGCATTTCTGTCACAGTAGTGGTATGAGCTTATTAGAAATGTTAGCATGTCTACGCCAGTCTTAATACTCTGTATCATATTTTGTGTTGAGCTCAAAAAATGACAGGCAACTTTTATGTTCTTCGGAGAATGGGCTTTGGAAACTTCAGGAAGCGGGATGGCTTTTACTGTTTGTTTTTTATACCTCACCTAGCTTTTCTTAATTTTAAGAGCTAGGAATTATACTTAGCAAGGGATTATACTCATCCCAGATCAAACTATTTACCCTCACCAAGCCAGTATACTTTTCCATAAGTAAAACTATATTTCAGAGGAATTCTAACCATGATTTAAAAGAAAAAAAAAAAGGCAGCCATGCCAGTAAGTCTTGTACAACTCTGTGCCCCTTTCCCTTTCAAGAAAGAGCATTTAGTTTGTTCTGTGACTCACTGTGGCATGTTTGTTGTTGTTTTTTTCTCGCCTTCCACCTAATATTTTGTATCATATATTTTGAAGGAAATTGATGTGTATTATAGCATATTTAAGTAAAAATTAAGGTTAGAGGATCCTCATTTATGCAAATGAGTAAATATTAGAATTTACAAGACAATAGCTGGAAACTTCTGCTAAATGAATACCCATGGGAGAGTATAATTGGCTGCTTGGAACAGAAGGCCTTTAAATGCTCAAACAAACTGTACTGGGAAAACTCTTGGGGATACTTTAAAGTGATCGTTTAAGACAGTGTTGCCAGTTGCAGGTAATTTTTTTTTTAATGCCAGGTTTCACTTTAAATAAACGCATGACTTTTCCATAACAAAGGAGACCATCAAACTCCATATACTTTTCGTGATGTTAAGAGGAATGCAAGTGATGACCGTCTGCCTGAAATTAACTGCCTACTTTATTAGGAGGAAATTCCTCCATGACCTCTATGCTTCAGCAAACTCAAATGAGAGTATTCTCTGGAGCTTTTCACGTTGACTGCACCTAATGTTCTTACTGCCACTGAGGTGAGTCAACTCCTGTAGCGATGTATACCTTGTTAAAAATCACACAGAGCTGGAGTGGTAACAAAAACCATAGGTGCTTCTTCATAAAACTTAATGTAGGGGTTTTTCTTCTGATTGCATGTAAGAACTAGAATGCTAATATGCAGCAAGTATTCTAGCACTGGCAAGATTTAACTTATAAAATGGTAATTTCTTTCATTCCATTCTAAAGAAAAATATGAACCAAAATCCCAGATCTGCATAGTACTAAATTTTGGAGGGTCTGAATTCTTGGCATACTGCTTTTCCTATAAGCCCATGATGAGTTTGACTGTGTGACCAGTATTTGAGATAATTTTTTGATAACATCAGTTATTCCTATTGAGGATAACAGGTTATTTACAGATGCTGTTTAGTTACTAATAGGCATTTATAATGTGTCTTCACATCTCCTCATACTAACTTTACCCATTGTCTTTATATAGTCATCTCATAGGCTTACTCCAAGACCTGCATTTTTCTTTACTTTTGGTGGATGAACATAATACAAACAGTCTGAAACCATGGATTCTTGAAATAAATAAGCACATTCAAAAATTTAGAGAGAACTCAAAGCATATCAAGAGAATAAAATATTTTGCTGAGAGATGAGTTTTTTAGTTACCAGCTTCAGTTTATTTAGAAAGATTTTTTTTTCCTACTCTCTAGGGAAAATTTAACTTTTTTTTGGTATTGAAAAAAGAAAAATCAGTCTCTCCTCTGTTTTCCTCTTCAGCTGTCCCCTAAAAGTCAACTTCTACTGAAAAATGAAATAGTCAACCCAGAAACTGAAGATCTTCACTGAAAGTGCTGGGTGCTATGTTGCAGACAGGAACAGTTTTTTATTTTTGCAGCAGCAAGTGAAAATCAGAGATGCTTTGTGTTTCATTAAAGAGGTGCAAACTTGAACAATTCCATGCTTTTTCATCATAGCTGATGTTACGTCTGTAACAATGTTGACAAAGTAAACTGAAGACAATTATTGCTGAAACTTAAATATAATGTTAAGCTATATGCTTTTCCTGAAGTCTTATGTTGACTGAAGAGGCATTTCACTCACTTTCATCTCTGATAGGTATCCAAAATATCATTTGATGTTGAACAAATGTTTTCTTCTTTCATATATCTGTCATTTGAGCTGTCTATTGCTAAAATAGATCTGAATGTTATTAAATAGCATACTTAATAACTTAAATGATTGTCTTTGCTAACGTATGCATTTGAAGTCTGTTAAGGGAATCCATAAGATCCCTGCTTAACTTCAAGATCTTAGATCTGATAATAAAATAGTACTGATGTGTTACACAGTTGAGATTCTTTTTCCGCTTTTTAGAAAGAGAGTTACTGGAAGGAGGGTAAAAAAATGTGTTTAAACTGTAGTTGTACAAGGAATGGATGTCTCAGTTCACTGATCAAGCTTCAAAACAATTTTTAAATGAAAAATATGTTGGTTTAGAGTTACCTGAAATGCTTGCTTTCTGCCTGAAGTGGCATATATGAGTTGGATCCTCGTTTCGTTCAACCTGAAACAATATGGAATGGATTGATTTCGTTCTGTATTTTATAGAACCTTTAAAAAGTGTAGTTACCTTTCAAATAAAAATTACCATTTTGAGAAAGGCAGACACTATTTTGACTTATCACCTAGTTATATCGTAATGAGAGTTGATTCCTCTTAGCATATCTATCAGTGTTAGTTTATACTGTAAGGAGGTTTGGGTGGGGGGAATTGTGGAATGGAATATATTTTACAAAGTTCAAATAGCTCTGAATCATTCTTCCCTCAAATTGCTGGGTGTGAAGAACTTCATACTTTTAAAGGTTCTCTCAGTTTCTTGTGTAGAATACCTTTCAAAACAAGAAAAATCTCATACTATTATACATTATGCAACTAATGTTAAATGCATCCTTCTTGCCTCCTATTCATCACAGACAATATACCACTGCCAGTGTTTTAGTCTGATGGTTTGTATACTCAGATGCAGCACTTCATTTGGCCATATAACACATCAATTTATCAATGTTAGGAGAAAGCAAGTTGTCATGCAAGTGGACAGGGGACCTCCCCACACTCCATTTTGGAATCTAAAACCAGTGTAGGAATTGATTACATTTGGATGAACTAAGACTGTTTTCAAATGCATTAAGGGATGTTTTGAGGATCTCATGCTTTTATTTTCTGTGTTAGACAGGGCTATGAAGAACTGGAAAGACAGCTGAAAGAAGTCTTTAAGGAAAGGAGCAATATCCTTCGTCAACTGTCGAAGACTTCTAAAGAACTTGAGGGAATTAAAGTAAACCTCCAGGTTAGGTTTTGTCTTGGTTTCTGTGACAGAGGATTGCTTACCTTGATTTGTTCATATTGATATTTATTGTGAAAACTGAATGACGTGAATAATTATTATTTTGTTGATCTTGTACTTAACCTAAAACTGATATTTTTTAAGGAAAATGTAATCCAAATGGGTTGGACCCTTTGTCCACTTACTCAAAAACTGAAGCAAATATGAAAATAGAATATAGTTCGGCGAAAGAAAGAATAAACTGTCTTAGTGGAGCTACTGCACATTTAGCCCAGCAGCCATTAACAAAAGGAGATCCCCTGATGTCGTCAGCTACACCTTTGCTAATGAGTTGCATACACTGTGTTCATTTGGCTGCTCTCTTTACCTAGCTGACATGCTATCTATGCTGAGTGATTGGATTTACTGCAGGGCATTTAGTTCAGAAGCTTAGCTGACAAATTGTGCTAGATGAGCCTGCAGCTAGACAGGTAGAGCTGAAAGCACCTATGCATTTAATTTAGGAGGTTGTAGGTGTCATGGGTAGGTTGAACTTCATGGCAATACTTAGATTAACTGCAATGAAATCAGCTCCTCAAAGTGAGAAGCGTCCTGCTCTGAATTTGTAGTGCTGAAATCATCAGATGTTCACTTCAGGGCATGCCTGTCTTCTGGTGTAGTTTGTTGGCCTAATGTTAACATTCAGACTGATTATCAATTGGGATTTCTTTGTCTCTACGTTTCATTTCATTTTAAAGGACAATGTTTTCCTGACATTGCATTTTTATCTTCATGTTCATGTAAGCTAAGTGGGACAAAAATAGGGACACTACTCCTCCCTATGTTGGCTATTCATAGGAATATACTGGCACTGTGCATCTTATCATCTTATTATATTCCAAACTTTTCTGGTGCCAATTTATTTAAACTGTTGCCTATTGAACCTTGAACCTTTTCTCTTTTTTTTTTTTTTTTGAGTCCTTTACCATTCCCTTATTATTGTTGGTTTTAGCTCTTACTTTTTAAGAGAAATGCATTTCTCCTTGTAACACAGTTATGCTAGAATGGGATTTCCTATGCAGCAAAATTAAAGATAGTACTTAGCAAAGCCGTCTGTCGGAGATTAGGCAAAGGGCTGTACTATTATCCTATGTATACATACTTGTATTTGTTCTCTACTTCTAATGCTTTTAGCCATTTGTTTGTTTCTAAATCTCCTTATTGTTTTTCATCAAATCTCTTTTAATATTTGAGAAGAAACAGCTGTGTGCAGTTAGCAGGGCTAAATTATGGTAAAGTCAGGCTATTCCTTTTTTCTTGCAAATGGTAATGTGTGTAATTCACTGGGAGCCTTTTATGAAAGAGGTTCCAATTAATCATTTTGCAGATGAATAACATTAAATATCTCTTTGGTAATATATTTCCTGCTTTGTTATCAGTCTTTGAAAAAAGATGAAGCATCTGCCAAGAATGATGTGCAGAAACTTCTGGAACTGGGCCAAAAGCAAAGGTAAGACCCCCCACCTCCACCCTTTTCTTTCGGGTTAAAGGCTGAAAACCGTCAAGACCATGAAATTCCATCTTTGCCTTTAGTTTAACTTGTAAGCACTAGTTTACTCCAGAGTGTACTTACCATAACAGTAAAATAAGGGCAGGGAGGGCTATTTTTGAATGATATTCAAACAAACAACATATTAGCTAGAAACAGACACACTGGACGACTTAGATAGACATGAATAGTATTACGAAGAGATATTAGAATACAACAGTGAGATATTTGCCAATGAGAGGGATTGTTCAGGACAGTTCAGGCATGAATTTTTATCTATTCAAATGAAAAAAATCAGAAGCCTTCAAAAATTACTAGTGGATGATAATCCTCAGTTTATGCATTTACCTTTGAGTGTCCCAGTCTCTGGAGTTAGAAATGGTGTTACATATGTATTAAATCTTCTTAATTAGATGTTCACACGTGTAGATGCTCAAAATGACTAGTCATCATGCAAATGTAGAAATTCTCCCACTGGCTATCTGTGAGGAGTCGGATGAGGAGGAGAGAGATGAGGAGAGGAGGAGAGGGATTCCCTTCAATTTTTTCATTGAATGCTTAATAAAAGAGTGACTTTACATGGCTAGGAATGCAAGCCTAGTCCTTAGTCACTAGCTCTCGTAACCTAACTATCATTATTCAACTATTTCATTATTCAGTGACCTAGTTCTCTTAATTCTTGGAGTTCAAACTGGTAAACTCTATATCAGTACAATTTTAGTAACAAGCAAACATAACTAATTTAGGGATCGCTTTATCTGAAACAGCATGATGTGATAAGTGCATCTATATCTCACATCTTTCTTTAGAAAAAACATTTATTAAAAACTTAAGGTGCAGTGTGTATTTCATTCATTGTTAGAAATGTGGTATCGTGTTTAATAGAAGCTCTGTAGCACATATGAAATTGCATTGCTATAGAGAAGGCTTGTGATAAAATGACCTTCAGTTCTTCAATACAAAACAGATCAGAGCCATAATACGGTACCTATGGAAGTTTCTCATTTTTATTTCAGTGGAGATGGATCAGATGCTTAAGGGACTTTCAGATACTCTAGAAAAATCTATTGAATGATGAAAGCAAGACTTCAGCTAATACCCTATTTAAACAAATACATGTTACATAGCTTGTATGCAGCTGAAGATACACATTTCACCATCATAGCTGCCCTTGTCATGGACTCTGTCCTTCATACGTAATACTGGTTGTGTGCAGTTTCTAATGAAATAAATACATTAGTTGATTAAAAGTATTCGTGGGCTATTGAGTAAATTTTTAAATGGACTTTCCCAGTCGCAGATGGGAAATTTGAGTCCTCTAAGGGGAAAGATGTATTTCTTAGCCGCACACTACTAAGTATTCTCCCTAATCTCCTGCTCAAATCACTCCTCAAAATCTCTCAGGGTCCATCCAAAAATACATGTTGACTTCTGCTTCTAAGGGAGTCAGCTATTGAGTATACTTCAGAACAGCATTTTCCAGAGATAGGCCCATAATCAGATATGCATTATGCTACTGAGCAGACCTCACCCTCCTGAAGAGAAGAAAAAAAGAAAAGGATTTTACTTTATACTCTCAAAAAAGGCCTTGGAGCTACTGTAGATACCTGACTGCTGTTAAGAGGCTCTCTGGATTTTAGTTGCTTAGAGGTATTGAAGTCCAGGATAAGAAGCTGTTGTTGGCAATGTGCCAAGGATCTCCCCGCCTAAAATTTAAGTAACGAAGGGTCACAGTTTATCTGCCAAAAGCCTCATCTGCAGTAAGTGAAAAAGAGTGCACTTACTGTTATGCTTAAATCTGTTGCGCTTGGACCAAAACACAGAATATACTTGAAATGCATTGCATTATTAATCTTATGGTATACTTGCTTTGGACAAACGTGAGCTGCATTTGGTCTGTGAGCGCTACTTTGATTATTTCTTGCAATGATGGATGATACAGTAAAGTTTAGGGTGCTAGAATCTCAGCTCATTGTAAACTGATGTGGCTCTGCCAACTTCAGATTAGGGTTTTTTTTGTAATCCTTTTTGTGTGAATTCTTCAATACTTCCCAAGTTGTAGTTAACCTTGGTCACTTCCTGTGATGTTTCAAGTTCTGTTATTTCAGTGCACCATCAGTATTCTGAACTGATCGCATCTGTTTATTCAATACATTGGTGAAGGTGTGTTGGTTTCATGCTGCTCAATCACTATTTGAATTAAATCTGTTCTGGATTAGTGTTCCTGAAGTTGCTAAAAGTAATAGAGATGCAAGCTAACAGGAAAGATCATCTAGCAGCTCACAAAGTTTTCTTCTGGTATGAACTAGATGCTTTTCACTTGGGTTAAGTTTTCATCAGGCCAGATCATCCCCTGTTCAGTGTTCTTGTTTCTAAAGGTTTATGCATGCAAGCAGCAGCCCCGACAAAGCTCTTGTCACTCTTGTATCTCACCGTAGCCCCGTAAGGCCATGTGCTGTCGGCAGAACGACATGGCCAGCAGAGGATCTCAGTCTACTACAGTTATCGGTAGAGAAATTCTAATTCCATCAGTGACATGATTTTCTTTTCACCCAAGGCTCAGTCAAAACAGTATCTTCTTGTTTCTTCTCCAGTCATATGCTAGAATATTCTGCTGAGTTTTGTCTTGTCTGTTTCTAGAAAGAGCCAAGTGAAGGTTTAATTTTAACAGCTTTTTTTTAATAGTGTAAACTATTTCTCATTGATAACAGTGTGATCTCTGTTCAGTGTGTCTTCAGCAGCCCGCTTTCTTCACTTTTATTGTGTCAGTCCTTTTAGCTAGAAATTATACACTGGCAGATGTTTTGCACTGCAGGATCCTCTGTAGATGTAAAAGGTAGCCAATTTCCATTACAGATAATTTTTGTCTGTCGTTGGCACTAGAGTTCGTGGGGTCTTTATGATTTTATTAGCAAGATGAATAGACATAGAACATCTGTCTGTCACTCTGAATAATCAAAAGTGCCTTTTCTTGAAACTAAAGAATTATTTCTTAATGGACACTTGTAATGAAGTTTGTGTTCTGTGTTTTCAACAAACTAGGGAAGAAATGAAATCTCTCCAGGAGGCCTTTCAAAAGCAGCTTAATGAGGCAGCTGAGAAAGCAGAAAAGCAGCAGGCTACCGTGAGTGATTCCCTGTCCCTCCTTCATTATTTTTGTTTATTTCTTCTGTCTTTTTTTACCCTTCTGCCTTGAGAATTTTCCTTTATCTCAACTGTCTTTGTGTGGGGAAAAAAAACTTTGATTTCAAGTATGTGTCAGTTCTCTACAAATTTCAGAAGAAAGGAGTTGAAGAAAGTTTGGATGCTTAAAAGTACTAAGATACTTGTCTTCACTAGCTTCTGTGGGATTTAGGTATATACACTTTTGGAGATTTGGCCCTAAGTCTTTGCCCTGAAGAAGAAACAAGACCTTCTTGTCTCATCTATAGCAATGCACACTGTCCTACCTCCATTTACTGTTTTTGAAATTGATGATTTTCAGCAAGAAAAGAAACAGCTGCCAAAGAGTCCAGTTTTGACTACAGTAGATCTAACTATCAGTATAAAAAGGTATTAAGTTGCATGAACATTTCATGCTTTAAAACAATTTTGTTTCTGGATAAGTTATACAAGTGGTTAGATTTTTCTGTACTGCTGTTATGCTATGGAGCATAAATAGCTGGATTTTGCTATGGCAGAAAAAATTAGAATCATGTTTTCTGCTTAATACTTAGATACAAATAGGAAATTTTTCCTATGGTGGTTGGTAGTACTCTAATACAGGAACATCCCTGTGCATAGGTTTACTAGACCTATGACCTCCAGAGGTACTGTCAAACTTCAGCTATTTTGTGACTCTGATTCAGTGGACTTGAAAACAAGCTGCCAGGAAGTTTCATAGATCTGTTTTTAGTTTCATCTTGGATAATCCTTATTTTATTTAGTAATATTTTACTGTTTTTCAGGCTCACAAAACTAGGGTGCTCCCAAGAAAGAGGTTTAAAAAGAATTACCTAATTTAGCAAATATTTACCAATGCCTTTCTTTGCCTTAATGTGATTTGAATGAGGCTTTATGTCCTTGGTGGAAAAGACATGAGTGTATTTTTATTATTAATTTAATGATTAGTTTAGGAAATGAAGATGTTCCCACTGAAGTTAATGGACTTCACTGTTTTCAGTGAGAACAGAGATCTTGTGTCCAGTTCAGCAACTGAATCGTGCAGTGATTGTATTAAGTCTAAACTTCATGTCAGGTTTTTAAAATGGCATATCTTGGATTCTTAGTATCTGACTCATCTAGATCAGGCAGCTGGCTAGAATGCACCACTGGTGCCTTCAGGTCCATATATAAATGTAATCCAAAATAGACGAGGAAATGGAGGTTTGTGGAATGCGCAGGTCGTATGCTGACATGGAGTCAGGATGCATCAAGGACTCCTCTAGATTCAGGAGCTGGGAAAGCTCTTCTGGGTCCTTCAGTTTAAATTTAAACATTGGTCTTACAAATGTTAACCATGAATTTTAGTATACTATTAGATTATCATTTATATGGATCATGTTGTATTTTGGTTTAAAAAAAAAAAGGAAAGAAATATGTTTTACCTGCTACCTTCCATTTGGAAACAAAGTAGCTTTTGAACTGAAGAACTGAAAGATAACTGGGAAAAAAAACAGAATAAATACAATTTTTGAAACCATTTTTTTCTTTGCTGCTTAGAAATCTGAGGAATAAAGATGCTGTTTTATCTGTTCTTTTTCTCCCACAACACACGCTTACTGGATTGTTGTACTTTTAGTTTTTTTTTTTCCCTATAGAAAAAAAACCCTTCTTTTGGTAGAAAATTAAATGCTTTATTTAACTTCAAAAGTATAAAATATTTTTTAGATCTTTCTAGATATTCAGGCTGTCATATATCCTGAAGAAAAATTGCACTTTTTAAAAGATGTTTTTCCACTGAAGCAAGATGTATTGTCCTGAAATAAGAATAAATGAGAACCTAGTCCTCTCTGCTAAGTACTTGAAACATGCTGACCCAAAATTATCTTTTTTCATGTGCACTGATCCCAGTACCACAGCAAATAGCAGTCCTACAAATTAAAGGTGGAAAACTTTTTTTTTTTTTTATCTCAGTTTTTATCAGTTCTTCAAGATCTTTTAGCTGTGGGCTGAATGCACCACAGATACAGTGAATGGACAGTTGGCTCTGTTCTTAGTGATCTAATGCTCTGGGTTTTTTTAGCTTCTAGCAGCAGTTTCAATGTAAATTCAACCTAGACCATAACACTAGGCAAGAATACAAAATTTATTCAAAAGTCAAACAAAATCTACTCTTAACTATAATGCAAAAATATGCAGTGCAAGTAACAGGGGGGAAAAAAAATCTCCATTTTTGTTAAGAGCAGAATTTGACTGGAAGTGTTGTCAACTGGTCAAGAAAAAACTGAACTCTTCAGCTCTCTTTTAAAACTTGCTAATAATAGAATATTAAATTAGCTACTGATTTTAAGGAAAGCTGAACTGAGTCCTTGGTTTGTGACATTTCTTTATGCCTCAGGGTACAATGTACATAATAAAACTCAGCAACGCAGTGAAACTGAATGAATATTCAAGAAATGCTTCAGGACAGAATGGGAAATAAATATTATTGCTGTCACACAGTGTCACTTTACACCTGTTTTCTCTGTGTTTTGCATATTTCTGAAAGCAAAATGAAAGTTATGGAAGGAGGTCTAGGTAGTTTGAGGCTGGGAACTTGAATTTAATTCTAATTTAATGAGTTGTAAGTCTTGTTTATAATCAAATGTAAGCACATTTTATTCTACAGGATTTTGTGAAGTAAATCTTGATTTACACCAGTGTAAACAAGAATACGATTACATTTCTCAAGGCCCTGTACCTAAAAAACTGATGGGAAAAAATTATGCTTTTTCTGTTCTTGCCAAGGAGGCATAATACAATGCTTACTGTATTTTAATTAGTAAATTAATGTTGTATGTTTTCAACAGGGAACTCCTGCCTGACAGTAATGAGTGCCTATATTATGTAAATGTAAAAGTATATGTTAGAATTTAGAAGTATTTTAAATCAAATTACGTGAAAAATAACCTTGACAGTATTCAAGGACTCTGACCAAAACTAAAAGAACAGAGGAGATCACGCAGTTAAAAGCAGGCTAGCCACAGCAATGCTCTTCACATCCAAGTTTTGTAGAAAATATGGCAAGACTATTCACTATCAGCATTGTACAAATGATTCATCAGAAAAAGGCAATAGAGAATAGCACAAGTGTCATCAAAGTTATCATTGCATGTTTCAGTTTATCCTTGTTGTAGCCCTTTAACATTAGAGAAGCCAAGAACATTAGGACAGGTAAGAAGCAGCCATTTGGAGGATTGGCTGAAGCATTGGTAGGGAGCAGCACGTTCTCTCACAGGGCAGCCCAGTGAAGCTGCTGCTAGTAGTAACAACTTACTGAGGAGAAAAGCAGCAGTTCAGGCTTGAGGAGTCAGAGCGAAGCCTAAAGACGTTGCTGTCCTCAAAGGTACTAACCATGCTGAAGCCATTGGCTAGAGCAAGCTGTCCCATATTGGGTCCTTTGTCTTCTACATCTGCAGCGCCAACATATGAAGAGCAACAAGTCTGCTAGGAGATATGTCTTTCCTAGAAATGAAATGGCCTAACTAGGCTAAATTCATGTCCCTTGTGTTAACTGCTGTGTCCAGGATATTAAAATGTGCAGAAGTGATGCCAGTTATGAGGAGATGGTTTAAGCTTTAGAGTAGTCCAATATTGCGAAGTTCAAGGTCAAATATAGTCTGCCTGAAAGCTTTGGGTTGTGAGGGAGCTTCTGTAGCCTTCAGGCCAACTCATACTAGAACTACGGATTAGTTGTATACCAAAAACATTTCTTAAATAGATGAAGTATGTTAAAGTCAGAAGTACCACACTAGATTTTGGTGTACAACGTGTTTATGTAAAAATTTTTATGAGAGAATAGGGCATAATTCCAATTCCTGTTGTCCTCTTTAACAATCAAAAAAATTTGGTGGAGTTTTTTGGTTCACTACCCTTCTATCTGTACATAATACTAGAATAAATGCATAACTAGCTTATAATGGTTGTTAGGCAGTGAATGATTCTATTAATAAACCGTCAAGTTACCATTTTGTAATATATGTCTCTATTTAAATGTGATGTGGAACGGTTTCTTCTAAAAAAAAGAATTAGGTAATTTTCAGATTTGTTAATAAAGAGGCAGAGGACAATGAAGCATTTAGGTCACTTCCAAGTGTTTTTGTTAGGTGAATTTATATAAAAGGATTTGTAGTGATTCTGTGTCTCTGGATTAGATTGGCAGACTTTTCAGAGCTTTTTGGGAAGGGCTCTTCAGTTGACTGCACATCATACCAACTGCATTTATCTTAGCAAATACGGTTATTTTTTAGCAAGTCACCTTGAGCTTAGTAGAGCTGTTTCTCACTAACTTCAATCACATCGAATAAAAAGAGCTGGACTGCTCCAGATGAGGGAGAAGACAGAGAGTAAAACAGAGAAATACTCAAAAATAGTCAAGCTAAGACAAAACTTAGTCTGCATCTTACATTTTGCCCTTGTTACTCTTTTGTTTCATTCTAACAATTTCTAAAAACACATGGTGATGAGATTGTTTAACTATACAATTATAGTACAGTCTGTTGAGGAAAAGGAGAAAATATGTTTGTAAATCCTTTCTCTTAGTTGCTCAGTGTTCATTATGAAAATTTAGAATTAGGTAATACGTTATACATGGCTTGCAAAGATAAAGTTGTAGTAATATTGATGAAGGAAAGAAAGAAATAAGTTTTTAAAGATAAGTAAATAGTTGCTTATCTCCTCTTTTTTGCCTCTCTAATCAAAAAGATGAATTAGTTTCTAAGCTATTATTGAGGGAAAAGCATAGACGAGATTTGTATCCAGACCCATAACAGTTGAAACAGCTGAGAGTGGATTTAAAATAATAATAATAATCTATTTTACCTGATTGGCTACATTATATTTTCATTTCTGGAGGCCATTTTCTGGTTCAGCCATTGGGAAGGAATCCAGGCTGTGCACTCTATGGACACTGTGCTGGAAATGCAAAAATGTGGAGTGGGAATGACTGGGAGAGTCACCTTAAAGGCACATGCCTATTGCAGACCAAAACATTAATATAAATTCCTCTCTTGAAAGTTTGAAACTTTGAAAGCTACAAACGAGACTTTAGATTGGTGTCCTGGTCCATAGCAGAGGAACTCCCACACCAATTAAAGGGCATTTTGGAAAACTGATTATGCCCCTCGGGACTTACCAAATATAAAAGAATTGGGTTCGTTTAGGTGGTATAGGGTTACAATATTCGGGTCAATGGACTTACAAGTAATATAACTTCTCTAATTTCAGTTAATCAATACAAACATACAGTAACTATATACAAAGGTATTTAATGGAAGCTTCCAGGAACAATAACAAGGCAAATGAGGTTTCACAGTAAATAAAATTATGAATGATATTGATGCGATTAAAAAAAAAAAAAAAGAGAGAGAGCGCGAGAGAAGGCATGCGGGGGTGGGGGGGGAATTGCCCTGATCAGGCCACGGTGGGCAGGCGTGCTGATCCCTGGGAACAAAGCCTGTAGACGTGACCTAGCCACACTGGTGGGGGTGTACTGATCCTCGGTATAAAATCGTGTGCGGGTACAACCCATATTTGTGATCCGGCCACACCGATGGGGTATGCCGGTCCCCAGGAACAAAGCCCGTAGTGGTTAACACGCCACCTCAGGCAGCTGCTCAGAAGTGGTGGACTCTGGTGGGCTTGTCCTGGTCTGGCGTCCCATACCAGGAGGGAGTTGGGGGGGGCACACTGAAGGAGCACTGGTCTTCCTATCCGGTGCTTTGCTCCCGACGACGGCTGTCCCGCAGCCACGCTCCTCCTTGGTGGTTCTTTTCTTTCTTCAGTTACCACCACCAACTCCAGCAGCCTTGTAGGGCCAGCGGCCACCTTTTACGGGCAAGGCCCAATTGTGGGCGTAGTCATGCCGAGCCTGGTTTCTGCCTCCCTTCTGGAAAGTTCCTGGTGATGGGCAGCCAGGGCCCCTAGCAACATGTGAGCTGTCCTCGCCAATGAGTTTAAAGGGACACTGGCGGGAATCCCGATCAGGGCTGGGCAGTCTGATGGGGGTCAGATGTTAGATGCACGCTCCAACAGTTGATGTTAGAAAATGAACAGATATCAGTAGAGGGTGAAGTCTGAGGAACAGTGAATAGTCTGTTCTTCATTTAGATACAGATGATGCAGAATCTCCGGTAGTTTAACCTGGTTCTGACCAGTCCTTGGATATGTCTATTTAAGTACTCTTATGTAATCTAGGAGGAGGAGGAAAATTTTCCTGGAAATTGCAAGAACAATATGGTCATTCTGAAAACAGTAGTTTTTCTTTTTTAATTAGCAGTAAAAGATCCTTAACAAAATATGCAGAATTTAATTCAGCGATATCCATCACCAAGAAGGAATCAAGAGCCACCACAAACGCATGTCTGCAATATTTTTTACTAGAAAGATAAGATGTTCATTTTATTTCAACAATATGTATTTTGTTTACTAACAGTCTCTATGGCAAGTCAAACTCCTAAATGCCTCTATGGCAAAAATCCCTTTCTAAATTAAAATGCAGCTTTTTTTTTTTTTTTAACTATTTAAATCTTATGTTCCTCTAAAAAAAAATCCCAATAGACAACAAATACATTTAACTTTACTTTCAGAGGTGTTTAATGCTTCACAGAACTTACTCTTTTTTTTTAAGAATATTTTCTCTCTTTCCTGTAATAGGCTGGCAAGGTCTCTCTAGTTATTAGAGCTGCATTATTTGGCTGAAAGTAGTTTCTGCCACGGCCAAAATTCTGATCCTGTCAAATGGAAGTTTTGACGCTGACCACACTGTACCCAGATTTCATTATAAGTGTGCAGCATGGTTTTTTTTTTTTTGCAGTGCTCTGCAGTATCAATTTGTACACTGTGACTTTAAAATAAGACCACAAAAATTAATATTTAGTATGTTAGACTTGCCAGATACTGCCATAATAGTTAACACTATACATTTCAGTCCCATCTTAACTGCTCGTGTCATAGTTTTAAGTAAGATTAAGAAGACAGAGGTAAGTAAATAAGCATACAGCTGAGCTTTGGCTTTTGTATTGGTATTCTTCCATCCTTCATCTGCAGTCAGTAACTAACTATTGTCTGACTTTTAGAATTAGATCATTGCCATCTGCCAGAGCATTTTGTATTTCGATGGAGGAAAATTTAATTTGAACATTTCAAGGTCACAAACTGCTGTGAGTAAAGGCCACTGGATGGAAGCTGTTGCTTTTAATAAATGTAATGAGCTCTGAAACACACAAAGCTCTGAATATCTTGAATGTCTGTCTCCAGGAGACTGAAGCAATGTCCTTGCTTGATATTGCAAAGTTCAGTCTTAGAACACCAGTATATTTTCATTATATATTTTCATAATTACAGCTAGATGTTCATTAAAGGCAGCCAACATTTTGAAACAGCTGAATGTCAAACAAGAGCAAAGAGTTGGTGGGAAAGTGGAAAAGATGTAGAAAGTTTCTTAGTTTCAGTTTTTCAGTTTCTGTGCCTTTAGTTTAGAGCTGAGCTTAAACGTCCGTTCATGTATGTTATCCTGTTAGGATCTGGAGACTGAAACTAGAATTTGTACACCTCTCCTTAGAAATGGTTCATACGTTGTTGTTGTTTGCTCCAGAAGAGTAAATTTGAACTTCAGGTTCTGAAGCAACATCGTAGTCCGTCATGACAGCTTTTCTCTGGGACTGACTGAAAGCATCAGGCAAATGCTCTGATACAGACTCATCTGCCTTAGAGCATAAAATTATGGAGACACGGATGCATTTAAATGGACAGATAGGTTCCCCCTACATTAGTTCTAGTAGCCGAGCTATATATATCCCTCCTATGTAGCCCTTTATAGTTATACTTTATGACTAAGTGGCTCTTCAGCTGTTAGAGGTTAAGTAGGCGAACTTTAAAATCGCTGTTACAAAAGCAAAAAAATCTGACTTTTTAATTAATGCTGGTAAATGTATATTTTTAAGTGTAACAGCATTGTTTTGCATTTTCCATTATTCAGGAAGGCTAAAACTGTAAGCTTGCAGTATGTAAGAGGTCCATATCAGTGATATCACATGCGGGTGTATGTGAATAGTAATTAACATAAATTACTGGTTTGACTAACATAAATTAGTGGTTAAATGAACAGCACTGTGGTTTGTCCTAAATATCTCTTCCTTAGAAGATCTAAGCTAATACAGGCTATGCACACAGAGAACAATTTCTGTATCATATCTTTTTCATTATTTCATATATATTCAGATTTAGGAGTGATATACTTTGAAAGAAAAATAATATTCTTTTAGAGGTAGGACTAAGAGAAGGAATGGTCTTTAACAGACGTCAGCATGTTACATTTTGCCGGTATTTAATGATAGCTAGCAAGTCTTTTGAACACATAAATTACACTGAATAGTGATTTTCTTATTTTTCATTTGCTCTTGATCTTATACTGTTACTTTTATTTACTATTGTACAAAAAGTTTGTATTTATGACACAATATATGTAGACTAAAATTCACTATATGTGGATATGATTGCTAGGCAAGAGCTGGATAGGTTTGTCTTCTGTTAAAACAGCACCCTCAGTGGTAGTTGGAGGTGATTAGTATTTTCATAACTAACTGAACCATTTAGACGAAAGTTTGGAACAGTGTTGGCAAAAGAAGTTCCATTTCTGCATGCCAGTGAGCCTTAGTCTCATGGGCCTCTGCCAGCTTTCCTCTTAAGTGGTAACAGCGTTCGCTGACTTCTCTTCTGATTCTCGTCAGAGCGGTGCCCAGTCTGATGATGGTTTTTAAATTACTGATGTCTGTCTGCTTGAATGTGGACAAAATTTTAAGGACAGCTGTCATACCATACAGGTTCACTGTGATTTTTGAGCTGCATGATATTCAGACCATTAATCTGTAAAGAACTGTAAAGTTTTCCATGATTGTACTTTGTATCAGCGGGGGAGAGGGGAGGACACAAGACATGGGGTGTATAGGGAGGAGAGTTTTGCTAATTCAAGAAGGATGCTCGTGGATACCTTGAAGTGAGAGGAATATTTTCATTTAATACTAGCAGTTTTAATTGTTTTCTCCCATTATGCTTTAGAAAGCCAGGAGGAAAACAGGCTTCTAAAAGAAAGTATACAGCCTGAGTTGTATAAACGATCTTTTAAACTGTATATATTTGCTAAACTAAGATGAAAATTGAAAATTGATACTTTCCAAGACAAATCATTGAAATAAATAAAAACTAAGGACCAGATTCAAACACTTTCACTTGTATTGCACTTTATTCTACAGGTGAGTCTGGTGGGAATCAGGGGTTTTTCTTGTTAGGGCCAATAATAGCATGATAGTTATATCAAATGCTGGATTAGAAAACAGCTTTGCTAGTTGTTGTGTTCTTAGAAGATACAAATTTTGTAAACTGTAAAATCAGTTTATGTTGTTGTAAAAATCCTTAGTTCTCTAAAGATCACCTTGGGCTTCATTGTGAAGAACAAACACTGTAGTTACTGATTGAAAAGTAAAATGAGGCTTTTCAGGCACAGTGATTTTCCTGTCTTGATTAGCAAATTCTTGGTAAATACCATGTTATTTGTTTACAGGTTATTCAGCAAATGCCAAACTGTGGTATATAGCAGTTTGGTATACAACCAGTAGTTCACTAAGATAGCTTGTGATTAGGGTCAAGTTTAAATAATTTTCACATTGCTTTTCAAAACTGTGAATACAGTAAGAAAAAAGTAGAAATTGATGCTTAAAGTGTTGTTTGGGTATATTTCAAAAGCTTACATTCAACGTTTCTTTAAACTTTTAGATTAACTTTTTGAAGACTGAAATGGAAAGGAAGAGCAAAATGATCCGTGACCTCCAAAATGAGGTAAAAGGAATATTTGATTGTCAGCAATATATCTCGGAAGTCAACCTCAGAGAAGTTTTAATTTTTGAACAATACTGAATAGATTTTTTTTCTCTCCTCTAATATATAACTGAGAAAGCATTGAAGCATTTCAGGATTTTTTTCCCAGCCTTGTATTAGAATTGTGAAATGTTGAAAATTTCGAGATTTACTGAGGTCTGCCTCTTTAGAATGTCAAGCAATGAGTGTTGTTCCGGTGCACAAATTCATCTTCATTATAACATCATGATATTTTAGAGTGTAAAACTAAACCATCAGGTTCAAACATGCTAAATAAGCTATTAAAATAAATTAGAATGATTTAAGTCTAATTTTCCACTGTAGTCTTTTAATTCATACTGTATCTATGTCTCCTTATATACTGAGGATGAAAAATAGTGGACAAGTAATTATCCGGTTCCTCTACACAGAAATGAAAGGATATTTTTGACTTGAGATATTCAATCTGAAGAAGCATGGTATGAGTATTTTGCTTAGCTACGCAGCTATGGGATAGTACTTGAGCTTTATCCTGTTAATATTAATTCAGGAGCACTGCATAAGCATAAAAATAAACTGCTTGGAGATTGAAGGAGAAAAGAGAAAACAGAAAAGAAAATTAAATATCCTGACATTGCTCTCATTTGTCTATATGTTATTAATACGTTCAATTTCAATTTTTCATATATTAAATAATGAAGTGCAAATCAATCAAACATAATACATATTCAGCAGTACCTGTTTGGTACATACTTTTCCTCCCTATTGCTTAATCTAGCTAACCACTGTACAGATAGATGGTTTTCTGATGAAAGCCAGAGCTGAGCAGAAATCTGCATTCAGAGTTTACACTGAGGGAGGTGATAGTTTGGCTTCAGATTTGGGACATTATGTTGTTTTAGTAGAATGATGAAGCTTCAGTAAAGTATTCAAAAAACAAAAGCAACCAAACATGACAATGTATGTTTGGAAGTACTACTTCTTTGAAAACAACTGTTGACTCCTTGCTGCTGGTGCACAGTACATCTCTGTAACTTTGTTGTACTGATGAGTTGTGGTCTTTCAGAAAGGACTATTTAGTTCAGTTCTTTAGTTTATTGCTACATGGTGAAACTTCATTTACAGTGTAATTACCTACTTTAAAAATAAACAGAAAGATAATGAGGAAAGAAATAAAATCTCAGAATTAAGATTCTTAAAATTCTAAACAAACACTGTTCTAAAATGTTTTCTTAAAGTCTCCTTCGTGAATATGAATCTCAAATTGTTCCATTTTCTATTGTTTACAAAACTTTACATTAAGCTTTATGTTACATTTTAAGCATAAGAATCTTTGACAACTAAAAGTTGTCAAATTTAGACCAATTTAGGTTAGTGGCAGTATACTGTATCCCGTTGGATATCCTGGAATACCCTATCCATAGTACGTTCTCTCTAATCCAGTTGAAATGAGGATGTAGCTATGTTCTACACTTTTATTTGATACCATTTAGAGGAAAAACTCCTTTGTTAGTCTTTGAAATAGAAATGAAATATAGCCCTTGTTGACCCTGTCTTTTTCTTTTATTTTCTCAGTTAAATTGTGAGTAGGAAAAGCTTTGGAGGAGGAAATAAAATACTAGAACCCAAGGACATTTTTATTATGTTTCTTTTCAGTAATAGAAATGTCAGTACTTTGTAATCAAAATTTGAGTCACACTTGTTTTCTTACATGGAGAACACCAGAAGCATCTACAACACACACTACCTATATTTAAAATTCATATGTAAAGTTTCCATATAAAGTGTATATGCTACAGCTACTTCAGTTATGCACATCATAAACTTCAAAAAATAAGCAAATCCACTACATATTTTCCTCTAGACACCAAAAAGAGACAAGAACTACTATGGGAGATGCTGATCATATTGTTTGTGGGCTTTTAAATATATTTCAGATACTGCAGTGTTGGGGTTAATATGTGAATTGCATTTTTGCAGTGCCTCCTCTCAAGTCACTATAACAAATAATCAGTGGGTTGGTTACTTGTACTAGTGTTTGTATCCATTGCCTTGTGGTTGTTCTATTGTAAATCTGGCATCGGCAGAGGGAAAAATATTCTATTTCTGAGTTACTGCAGACTTTTCTTTATGCCTTGCTTTAGCATTACCTGTTCTAAGCGTATATGAAATCTTGATTTTTAGATGAAGTGAAGACTACAAAGTTCAGTGTGATTTTACGTTAGCTTTTATTTATTTGGTAAGACTGATTGTCAGCCACTGGCACCTCTGGGAAGATTTCATTTTTGCGTTGCATTTGCACAGCTCTTGCACAGGAATAATACTGAAATGTTTTTTCAGGGACTGAAACAAAATGTTGTGCATATAAAATGTTTATAAAAAATTATTTATTTGAAAAAGTAAAAAATGTGGCCTTGCCATTCTTATAAGGTAGTACTTGCCACTTTAACTGAATGTGGGAAAATACCTTATGAATTATGGAGGTCTAAGTTTTAAAATGCTTCTATGCATTCATATTTCCAATATGCACATGTATAAATACAAAATTTCTCTACTTTGAAATGTTAAATTGTAATTTTTTTAACCATCTCTTACTTTAAAAGTACTTCTCACACTGTGGCTGTGTTTCTGCTTTTTTTAAAATATAAGGAGCACAAGCAAGTGTTAGTAAGGCTTGCACAATATTTGTGAGAATTCTGGAAATAGATAATGGACCCACATCTGCTGCAGCCTCAGTTATGGGTGAGCAGTGTGTGTGCTGGCTGAAGTGGAAATGTGTACTGACTGAAGTAAAATTTTGTGTGGCATTCTTCTAACAGTAGTGTAGTTGAAATTCATCTAAGGTGGATGAACCACTGATGGAAAGTTTGATCTTAGAACTCAGCCATGATCTTTAGTAAAATATTTCTTGATTATATAATAACCTTTTTAAAAAAATATTTACTAAAAAAAATTTGTCACCATGTCTTGAAGCTAGAGTTTCTAAGGGTGTGTTTTTGAGAGTCTAGTTTTTGAAGTGGTTAGTTTTGAAAACTCTAGGCTAAATAGCATTGTAGCGCTGTACTTGTGTCATTGAAGGCAAGAATGCTAGCGTAGTCAGTGTCTCGGAGAAGTTTTCTTTGGACTAACAAGCTTCGTTTTTCTGCAGACTTTTCCATTCCGTATATATTTAAATATAATAGTACAGATAAATTCATCTGATTTTTACATGTACTCCGTTATTTAATTTATGAATAAGCCAGGTAGAAGTGATATGCTTACAGATCAGAATTTTTCTTTCACAATAATGTTAGCCTTTTACTTTCATCTTGTTCTGCCTTTTCCCAAATGTAAGTAAGTTCATAGGATTAAAAGCAGATGATCAGATGGTCTCTTGTTCGCTTACAAGACACACTTATCTTCATCTATTCTGTTCAATTTTTATATTTTGCCCTTTTTTCTAAGCTGGTCTGTTCCAAGTTTGATATATATGAAAATCAGGTCTGAACAGAGTGTTAAACTGTGATCTCTGGTGTCTGTGGCCTGTCAGGGTGTATACAGGTGCAATCTGAAAGAAGTGCCTGTTACTATTTGACCCACAAAGGAAATCTTGCGTATTTCAGACACTCAGGTGTTACTTAAGCCACATTCTTAGTTTTCTTCCATCTACAGTCATAACTACCACTGCTTTTATTCACCTGTGATGATATGATGCTTTGAAATAGAGCTTGCTAATTCTGATAAATCATGTCAGTCTAAAGCCATAGAAAATCCAGTTTCTTATTGCACACAAATAAATACTTCATTAGTCAGTGGGTTTTCCTAGATAGTTCTCCCCTGCCCGAAGAAAGTATTTATGCTTCTCAATTTAAGGATGCAGTGATTCAGACACTTTCTATCTCCTTGTAGCCTTCTATCTGAAGTTGCAAGAGCTGACTAGATAAACTGAATTTACCACAGTCTCTGCTGAAGTGTCTTAGGCTAATCATAGGATAAGTGGTTTCAGAGAAACCTCTAATTTGGAGACCTACATTTTTAAATTTCTAAGTGTGTGTTAGTCTGCAGAATGACTAAACATGTCTATCCAGAATGCATGGGCCATGTTCCCAACCGTCATCTGATGGATGGCACTCTGGATCAGACACAGATAAGTGGTGTGACTCCTAACCATCTTTCAAATTACAAGAACATAAGAGATGCACAATGGTCCATCTATCTCAGTATCTTGTTTGTGATAAGGACTACAGCAGATGCTATTAAGGCAGAAAACATGAGCCTGCGTATGTTCTGAGGTCTATTATGGGGTCTGCATATGTTCTGAGGTCATACTTACCTGGCAGGGGAGACACCATGATCAGGCAGGTGGTTTTCCCAGGGCAAGGCTCATCCCTTGCACTCCGGGTGTGCTGACCCCAGCGATTTCCCCAAATGCGGGAAACTCGATTTTCTTTTGCCCAGAGAGGTGGTGGAGTCTCCTTCCCTGGAGATATTCAAAAGGCTCCTGGATGTGATCCTGGGCAATATGCTCTAGGTGACCCTGCTTGAACAGGGAGGTTGGACTAGATGATCTCCAGAGGTCCCTTCCAACCTAAACGATTCTGTGATTCTGTGATTCTGTGATTCTGTGATTCTCTTCTCACTTCCCACAGTGTCCACCATCACTGGATTTGGGATGTTAGAAGAAATATTCCTGCATATTCCCCATAGTGTATGTTTGTGAACCTGTTGTCCCTGAATTTGTCTTTTGAAGAAAGAGAAATACCTTTCTTCATGCCTGCTGGTGATCCCAGATACCTCCTCAACTTCTTACACTACCAAATTATGTTCTACTTCACTGTTTATCACTGACCTGATATTTTTTTACGGTCTTTCCTGTTCTCCTCGCTTGAGCAAGCTTTTCTTTTTGTAAATTCTAACCTGTTCCCTCTGATAGCCTTCTTAGCTTTTTAGAGTTATACAGGGTTTTGGGGGCTTCTAGTATAGTATTTTTGAACAACTTCTAG